GGGAAGAGACTGGGAAGACCGGTCCTTCACTATCGGAATTGGAGGGTACGATGGACCCCGTGTGACACGTACATGTCAATATACTGCTCGGCCGACATGATGCAGAGTTGGCATGGCAAGATATACTATATTCTCAAGATACTGACCAGCCTAGACCAGTAGGCTCGGGCAAGACAGCTCTCATGCTAGCCCTCTGCAAACATCTCCGAACGCGCTTCTCTATAGCCGCGGTAACGAACGACATCTTCACGCGAGAAGACTGCGAGTTCCTCACCAAGAACAATGCCTTGCCCGCGTAAGAGCAGCCACAATACACACATGCCGGAGTATGTTTGACGCGACTATAGTGAGCGCATCGTCGCTGTCGAGACTGGAGGCTGCCCCCATGCCGCCGTCCGCGAAGACATCTCCGTGAACCTCATGACGCTCACCAACTTGCACCAAAAGTTCAACACAGACCTCCTGCTCATCGAGTCCGGCGGCGACAACCTTGCTGCGAACTACTCGCGCGAACTCGCCGACTTCATCATCTACGTTATCGATGTCTCGGGTGGTGATAAGATCCCCAGGAAGGGTGGTCCGGGAATCACACAGTCAGACCTGCTGGTCGTCAACAAGATCGATCTTGCCGAGGCGGTCGGTGCGGATCTGGGTGTCATGGAGCGGGATAGCAGGAGGATGCGTGAGGGTGGGCCGACTATCTTTGCGGTTGTCAAAAGGGATCAGGGTGTGGACGCTATTGTGGACTTGATTCTGTCCGCGTGGAAGGCTTCTGGTGCGACGCAGGCTAGGAAGGAGAAGTTCGAACCTACGTTGATGGAAGAGAAGTGAAACGACAATGAAGAAGCGACAGTGTGTTACGAGCAAACTCAGTCATGGCTCACGCGTGTTCGCAGACATGATGTTTATTGCAGAACGTGAACGCTACGATTTACAGACTATAAGCAATTATATACTGGGGAACCTTACAACTTGGCACCACCCTCTACATCTACACTTCCTTTAAGCAAGTCCCAATCCGCCATGGTGAATACAACATATCCATCATCACCGCCACTCTTGCCCTTGCCAGATCCAAGAGCGGCCGGGTGCCAGTACATGGTGTCGTATTCTGCCTCTTCCTTTCCTTGCTCCTTCGCTTCTTTATCCGCCCTCTCCATGAGCTTCCTCAGATCGATACCGTCGTTCCTCAGCGGAACCTTGTTCTGCTTGTTGTTGTGCATCGTAGTTTGCTGTTTCTGTATCCTCAAGAAGACAGGCACTGCGTATTTGGGCAGCTTCTCCTTCGCGTGCGCAAGTAGCGCGTTGAAGTTGAACGAGTCTAGATGTGCGGGGTCGATGTAGATGGCTGCACAACCTGCGCGGCCGTCGTAGCCGGGCACTTCGACACCATAGACGTTTGCTTCTTGAATTCCAGGGAAAGAGCCAAGTGCCTCGCTGACTTCGGCTGTGCTCACGTTCTCCGACTTCCAGCGGAAGGTGTCGCCGAGGCGGTCCATGAAGAACCAGCGGCCGTCGGCGTCGCGGCGGAGAGCGTCGCCTGTACGGTAATACAAGTCGCCTTTCCGGAAGACATTGCGTTCGAAGCGTTTCTCAGTAGCATCCGGGTTGTTCCAGTAGCCGACAAAGGCTTGCTCGCTCGGCATCTGTACGAGGATCTCACTGCCCTCCTCATAGGACTTGCGTTTGCAGAAGCCCGTCTTGGGATCGCGCAAAAGGTCTCCGGTTACGAAATCGATCTCGACTGGGACGTAAGTGTTGTGGGAGCGCCAGCGCTCGATGATACCCTGGTGTCCAACTGAAGTTGCTGTGAAAGGCCCACGAGAGCCATTGAAAAGAGCCATGACACCTTCTGTGCTGTTGAAGAACTCGCCGACGATCTCGATGCCGAAGCGATCGACAAAACGCTGCCATACATCGGGACGAAGGCCGTTTCCGAACATGGCCCTGACGTTGTGTTTCCGGTCGAGGTCGCTAGGAGGGGCGTTGAGAAGGTACCGGGCTGTCTCTCCTACGTAGACAATGGCGGTAGATCTCGAATCGCGTACGTCGGTCCAGAATTTCGATGTAGAGAACTTGGTGCCGATACAGCACGTAAGGCCGGTGACCATGCAGACGAGTGCCGTCGTGCCTCCCGTGCCGTGGTATAGAGGCATGCAAACATACCACCTATCGCCGTTGGGGCCTGTTTTCAATCCCATAGCACCCACACGCTGTGTCAAGCCGACTGCTCTCTGCGTCTCGAAGGGGCAAGCTTTCGGGTGTCCGGTTGTGCCACTGTTGTAATCAGCATTGTCCTCTTCGCAGCACAGCCGCGGTAACTAACCTTGTGTAGAACAGGAAGAGCGGGAACTTCCCCTTCATGCCCACCCTAAGCTCATCCTCAGGCCTAGTAGGTTCCAGCCTCGATATCTCCCCCTTCAAACCCGTGTCCAAGACCAAGACAGTCATGCCCAGCTCGCTCTCCAACCTCTCCCTAACCGCCTCGATGCGGTCTCTGCACTCTTGATCTTCATCCACAAGCAGCACCTTGGCACCACTGACTTTCAGGCAGTGCACCAGCGCATCGCCTGCAAGGTTGTAGTTGATCCACGCCGGCGCGCTTCCTATGCTCCAGCTACCCAGATGTGCAAAGAGGAACTCCGGCCGGTTCATCATGTACATGGCAAAGAGCTGCCCGGGAACAACTCCATTCTGGCGCAGGTATTGGCCGTATCGACAGGCGTTCGCGTAGGTTTCGGCCCAGGTGTAGCAGCCGGTACGGGACCAGATGCATTCTTCGGTCGAGGGCAGGCGGTGGACTTGGGCTTCGAATTGGTACCAGAGGGACTGGCCTCTGCCTTGTGCTGTTGTCTTGTTAGAACGTGGGTGGTAGGAGGCATACGTAGCTCGGGCTTACCATTCTTCTCGAGATCGCGCGCGGCAGCTTTCAGGACGCGTTGGCCTTTGAGGTCTTTGGTGATGTGGTATTTGGCGTCGATGTAGGCTGCAGCGGCAGTAACGCCTGCGATTGCGCCTGCTACAGCTTGAGGTGCTTCAAAGTTTCGTCAGCTAACATGTACGACAACGGTTGTGTAGAGATGGTCGGGAGCTGGATGGGACGACAAGCGCGCCACGGCCGCTACTCGAGATGGGAACACGCACCGATCGGAAGAGCCATGATGGGATCTTTCTAATATATCTATGAATGAAGAATGTACGTGAAAGATGCGCAGAGAAACAATGAAGGTAAATGTCGCGACAGAAATGCGCCGAAGTCTGCCCAATGCTTCTAGATAACCTGCGACATGGCCATCCGCAACGTGATCAATTGCCGACATGCCCTCGGTCTCCCAACCGCCGTTCTACGCCAATGCACGCGGCTGGCGGCCCCAGAGTACCTAACCCCACGTGTTGAGCCCCACACCTACCCGTAACTCTACTCTTGCAACCTCTGTTGCCATGACTTCGGACCTTTTCCACATTGGCCATGGGTCAGATAGTTGGTGATGGTTGATCCGCCTGGGCATAGGATAGCTGGCGCAGCCATGCCTATATTTAGGAAACCCAAGGCTGCTAACAACACACTCACAGTCACAGTCCAGGAAGAAGAGATTTTCTGTTCTACGTTATATTGTTTTGTATCGACATTACCGGTATTTATACTAGAGTTTCGCCTCAGAACCCCTAGCGGAATGAGCATTCTACCTACATTACCGCAGCTCTTCCATTAAACTCACATGTGCTTGTGGAAGAAATCCAACACCATCTTGTATCCGCGCTCGTACTCCTTCCTGACCTTCTCCTGCGAAAGGTCACTGCGCGCCGCCATCCAGCCGTGGATCTGGTCTGGGAACCACTCAACCACGTGAGGGACCTTGATACCCTCCTGCCACTTCTTGACGTCATCCTTTGACTCGTCGCCTGATGGAAGCATGATGTAGGGGATTTTGATGCCGGGGGCGTCGTCGCCGGCAACCATGGCGGGGTGGCATGCTGCTGCGACCTTGAACTTTGTGCCTTCCATGGAAGACAAGTTGACAATCTGTACAGTGTTAGGAGATACGTCGTAGGTGATCTGGCTAGCTCTTCCGTACCTTTCCGCCCCAGCAGAAGCCAATGATAGCCCACTTCTCAATTCCGTACTTCTGAGTGAGTTCATCGACAATCTTCGGGATGCGCGGCAACGTCTTTGGCGGCGCAGCCTGCGACTGGAAGAACTCGCCCATCTTCTGCTCCTTCTCCTTGGTGTCCGGGGGCATCCAGGAGATGTCGGCTGGCTTGCCCTCGAAGAAGTCGGGCATGAAGACCTGGTACTTCTGGTTGTCGGTGTAAGCCAAGATATCAGCACCTTGGAGTGTTTGGTTGAAGAATCCAAAGATGTCGTAGACGACTAGGATTCCTTGTTTTGCGTCCTTGGGGCCGGTTTGATCTGTTGGAAGTTAATTGCGGTCCCTGGTGATGTCGTGCTGGGACGTACAAGTCTTCAGTCCGTCTGCCTCAATGTAATCGCCCTTGGGTTGGTAGCCCTCGCTGACTACAGCGGGTGTGTTGCAGCATGCCTGCGACTGTGTGGATTCTGTCGACATCGTTGCGGTCTGTTGTTTGGAGATGGCGGATAGCCCTTGTTTACGTGGAAGCGTTGTTGGGCGGAGTGTAAAGAAACGTGGTGCCGCAATTGAAAATCCTCGTAAGTTCTGAGGTAAGATTCGAGCAATTGGAGATTGAAGAAGTGAAGTTGTTCGAGCAATGACGCGCATTATGAGTTGCTAAGGTATTTGTCAAACTGTCAACGACGGTTGGGTGGGGAACTGAGCACCGCGGCTACCCCACCATGATGTCACCAACAGCGTGCTCTTGCCCGAGACGATGAACATCGCATATCATCTGGAAATAACTAGAAGACTACATGCAATCATACAACAAAGACTCAAGACACCGAACCCTCCATCAAGTCCATCAATCGGAGTCGCGATTAGGATTCAACCGGCAATTCCAACAGTCTCCCGAAATCGTACCTTCTACGTCACCCTTCCACCCGCAGGCACGACTTCGACAAAGGTGGTGATATTGACCGCCATGATCTCCGTCACGATCCTGCTGTAGGATAATTTGACCTTGCCAGGATTCCACTTCTCGTTCAGCGTCTTGCCTACGAGCGAGACATCGCTCGATTTCATAGAGTATGTCACCTCGGCAGGATGGGTCCGATAGACTATCGACGAGGTCGGCGCTTTCCCTCGTAGTGTTCGGCTTGTCTCAGTTGAGCGACCCAAAGCCTTTTTCTGGTCTCCTCACCAGGCGCCCGAGGCATCATCTCGACGTTCACGATGATATTACCATCATCGGTTCTTCTTGGCCAGGCGCGTCTGTAGTACAACATTGTTTCTGACCAAGGCTCGGCGGCCATTACGCGCTGGGCTTTCTTGAGTTCAGCCAGATGCTCGTTGAGATAGGCATGTACTTCGGTAACAAATTGCCGCAATGTGATGTGCTTTCCGTCTTCGTTCTCAATGATTAGAGGAGGTGGGGGTCGATAGCCGTCCTCCTCAGGGCTAGAATCGTACGAGAGGTCGAATTTTTCGAGACATTCGCAGCTGTTCACCTCGATGCGGCTCAGTCCAGGCTCGCTAATCTCTTCGTCCGCGTAGGGGTGGTCGATCAGCGGGAGAATCTTTTCTTCGTCCTCGGACCCCACCACAATCTCAATATTGTGCAAGCTGGTCATTAGATTCCATCGTAGCCGGCACAGGAGGTCCAGGCGGATGCAATCGTCCACCAATTGAGAAGGCATGATAACGTGAGTCGACGTGAGAACGGCCGAGAAATGTGCTAGGAAGGATTTTGCAAATTGGGGGCTGAAAGTGAATGCGGAAGGTATCATGAGAACGGGGCGGGTTTCAATAATATACACGAGTTTCAAGTACCGCTAAGGGTTTACCCGGGTCTAACTGAATTCGCTATCTAAGCATCCAAATTCAGCTTCTCAAGCAAGGTATCTATCTTTCCCAGCAGGATCTGATAATTCATCGCGTCCTGAGCAAACTCGTCACCAACCTCCTCGCCATCCAAATTCCTAATGACACCAGCAGCAATCTGCTGTTCGACCGCCGCGATATTCTCGTCCTGCTGTACACTGTCGGGTACACCGTCTTCTAGTGCGAGATCGCCCATTGTACCAACAAGATCTCCCTCGGTACTAGCTTGCATGGCCGCGCTCTCGTCCATCATCTCATCTAGCCCGCTGTCTTCAAAGCGTAGCCTGAATCGTTCCGAGAGGTAGTAGCGGATGTCGTCGACAAGTTCGACAGTGTCAGTCTCTTGACGTGCCTTGACGCGATTCGCGGATTCTTGTACCAGCTCTGCAAACTCGGGTTGGTCGATGTAGTGTTCCAGTCGGTAGGCGATGTATCGCGCAGCGAACTCCTCCAGGCGTTGCACCCTTGTATCCCACCCGGCTCGAATAACTTCGTAGATGTCCACGGCTTCATCAGCATCTGTAGCTCCCCGTGGGTTGTCTGACTCCACCGCTGAGGTCGCGCCATTGCCTAGCGCAGAGATAATGATGGCGGCGCGCTGCTTGAGCTTCTCGATGAAGAGCTGATCTGCAGCAAAGAGCACGTCGATGGCAATATCCAGGCCGAAATCGGCGCGCTCGGTGTACATGAAGGTGAGGATGGTTTCCAGAACTGCTGGCGAGCAGTCAAGGGTTACAATCTGCAAATGCGGCGTATCTTGTGCTTCCTTGAACTGCGAGCTGAACATGGTTAGGAAATACTCGGAGCGCAATAGCATGGCTCGGTGTGCAGGGAAAACGGTCGATTTACGGGATGCTCGTTGGCGGGACGGCGACCTTGAACGTGAGCGACCCGATCCGACTGGTATGCCGAGAAGAGGCCCCGGTGCGTTTCGCACAGGCGGCGTAGATGACTCTGACGGCCCTGGTGACCGATCTGTGCCATCGGAGTCTTGATCCTCGTCATCATCATCATCGGCGCGCAGTAATATATCGGCGAAGATGGAGTTTTCCCGGTCCCATTGTATGCTGTCCACTTTTGCAGTGTCTACGACTCTTTTATGCCGGAGGACGTTGTTCTTGAACCATCCCTCTAGCTGATCTCTGCCGCGTTCCAATTCCTCTGCTCTTCGCTGGCGCAATAATCTTCGATCCGAGACTTCTGTTATATCTTCAAACAAGCGTTCTATCTCCAGCTGCTTGCCAATCTTGTCTATGCCTTTCAACACGACCAGCTCCTGCTCGTCACTCAACCCATGCAATGCCCTCCGTATTGAGACTTCCTGGAAGTACAGATACTGCAATGCGACACCCAGCGACTCGGCGGGTATAGTGTTGGGTAGTTTCCACGACGTTGTATTTGGCGCTGTCTCGAGCTTTTTCGCAAAGTAGGGCGATCGTGCGGCGAGGAGGAATTTGTGGAGGTGGAACTCTTGGTCGAAGGCTGTGATGGTAATGTCTGTCGTCTTGGGCGAAGGTCGCGTGAGGAGCGAAGTAATATGCGCTGCCAGCGGTTGTAAGGGATTCGAGGATTTCGCATAGTCGTAGGATAGTAACAGATTACGTATACGGTCGTTGAGCGCGTTGTATAGACATCGCTCGCCTTGGAACGTGTCGCGTTCGCAGAGTGCACCGTTCTCGAGGAGCAGGCGTATGACTTCGTAGTGACCGCATAGACTGGCCTTCAGCGGTCAGCGCTCTGAATTGGATAGCGAATTGTTTAGATTTGAACTCGGAGATTGTCTTACTAAGATAAGTGGGGTGTAATCAAACCTGTCTCTTGCGTTGATGTTTACCCCGGTCGATATCATTTCCTGGCAAACCTTCAGGTCTCCCCGCCGGCATGCTTCACAAAAGACCCTGAAATCCTCGCTCGTGTCCAGCGGATTCTCTTCCTTGAGCTGGCCCGAGGAAATCGCCTGGGCTTCGGTCGCGAGGGCGGCCTCGATCTCGTGCTTCTTCTTGACGTCCATTTGTGTGGCGAGAAGGAGAGGTCCTCAGTAACGGCGACATGGTGGAGGTGAAAGTGACTATTGCTCTGCGATGACGAGTGGCGGCGGAGATCGGCGTGACTATCGATAAGAGCAGTGACAGGGGTGCGTGCGCCTGGCAACTGCAACACGTGAGGCGCGTGCAGCGTTGCTGGGTTGACGGCCGTTAGCGTAAACAGGGCCAAACACCAAGGAAACTTGGCTTCCATCCCACCCACTGTACATTACATACATCCCTCGCTACCTCCGAGCTCTACTAACCCAGCAGCTTGCTACCCTATCCTACCCTTAATCGTTGCATGTCTTTTGAGCAATAGCAATACCTTCACCATGCCCGAGGAAGAAAAGTACGATGTGCTCGAGAAGATTGGTACGGACCGCCCCCGAGAGGCGCAAGAGGACGCATACTGACGTTGTATAGGCCATGGGTCCTTTGGTATCATCCGCAAAGTCAAGCGGAAGTCAGATGGCTATGTAAGCAGCGACGACGACGCCTGCGCGCGCGACGTGCTAACCGCCGCCTAGATCCTGTGCCGCAAGGAAATCAGCTATCTCAAGATGTCGCAGAAGGAACGCGAGCAGCTCCAGGCCGAGCTGTCCATCCTCAAGGAACTCCGCCACCCCAACATCGTCGCCTACTTCGAGCGCGACCACATCAAGGCATCGCAGGACCTGCACCTCTACATGGAGTACTGCGGCAACGGCGACCTCGGACGTGTCATCCGCGACCTCAAGAACAAGAACCAGGTGTGCGAGGAGGAGTTCGTCTGGAGCATCTTCAGCCAAATCGTCAGCGCCCTGTACCGCTGCCACTACGGTGAAGACCCACCTGCGGCAGGCCGCAACGTCATGGGACTCGTTGGCAACGCGAAGCCTGCCCGTGACCCCCGCAAGCCCATGATCCTCCACAGAGACCTCAAGCCCGAGAACAGTCAGTATCTGGTCTTCTCCACGTCGCGTGACTCTGCGCTAACAACTCACAGTCTTCCTTGGCGATGACAACAGCGTCAAGCTGGGCGACTTCGGTCTGTCCAAGATCCTCCAATCCCACGACTTCGCCTCTACCTACGTCGGCACGCCGTTTTACATGTCGCCTGAGATCTGCAAGGCCGAGCAGTATGGTCCCCACTCCGATATCTGGGCGCTCGGGTGCATCATATACGAGATGTGCACAAAGTCACCACCCTTCAATGCCAAAACACACTTCGAGCTCATCTCGAAGATCAAGCTGGGCCGATACCCCGACATACCAGCCTGCTACTCGGCGGAACTCCGAAAGGTCATTGCGAGCTGCCTGAACACAACGCCCGACAACAGACCAGACACAGCCGCACTTCTCAACCTGCCAATCGTCAAGCTTATGCGCAAAGAGCAGGAAGTCGTCAAGCTAGGGCAGGACCTCCGTGAGCAGCGTATGTTGACAGCGAAGAGGGAGAAGGAGGCAAGCGAAGCCATTTCACGGATACGCAAAGAGTTGGACGACCAATTACGACGAGAGTGGGAAGTCAAAGCACAGTTGGAGATTGAGCGACAAGTGAAGCTGCAAACGGAACAACGAGTACAAAAAGAGCTGGCTCAGCTCCAGGCGACCTTCGAGGGAGAAGTGAACAGGCGGGTAGAGCGCGCCCTGAAGATGTACCCCAACCGTCTGAGCACATCGCCAAAGCTGGCTCCTCGGTCCAATACGCCTACTATGGCGGCAACAGAACCAACGTCTGCTTTGTTCTCAGCAGAGTCCGATGGTGCCGTTAAGAGCGGCTCGCAAAACACCCTCAACACAGACTCCGACTTCGCCAGCGGAACAGACCTATCGTCACTCTCCCTGGACGACCACACCGAAGATGTTACCATCGCAGCTAAGCCAAAGGCAAAGCGACCGTCCCGCGGTCCCCTCGTCCGCGCCCGCACAATGTTCTCTCAGCCCTCCACCACACAAGTACCCGACTCTCCCATGGATGTGCAGATGGCTGAGCCGTCGCCGGCACCTATCTCGCTCAAGGGACTCTCGCTTTCCCCTCGTCGCAACCAGCAACCTAAGCAAAACATCTTCGCTGCTGCTAAGGAAGGCGCGAAGAAATGGGAAGCTGACGTTCCCCCGTCGCCAACTGAGGCAGAGTGGAACGCCGACTTCGACGACGATGATGATCTTCCTGTGCTGCCATCGCCGACCCGCGCACGAAGCGCCTCTGGTGGCCGTCCTATGAGTGCGGACCCCTTCAAGGTGCTCGCAAATGCCCAAGCGCCGCTGTTGAAGGCCAACGGTCGATTGGGAAGCACACCAAACCTCCTGGGTCCCAGAACTACAAAGCCCCGTCCTGTTTCCGCCGTACCCATCGTCGCTGCGTCGCCTTCTCGAACAAAGTCCAAGTCCACCGACACCGCATCAACATCACCACGCAAGACAGGCGCTACCACAAAGTCCATTCCATTTGCCGGACTACCATCAAAGAAGGGCAACGAGGCGTTCCGCGTTCAAGCAATGCGCAACAACGGCGGTGTCCAGGGCCGCACACTAGTCGAACTTCAACAAGCGCGCGGTATCCCTGTGCACACTATGAGTGAAGACGAGGGAGGCGCGAAGAAGGGCTTCGGATACAACGGCCGAAGGAGTCCCGTCAAGCGAACTGGCGGTATCAGCCCGCCCGCAGTATGGGACCCCGAAACCGAGCCGGAGATGCCATCTCCTTTCATCCAACGCAGCAAGCGCATGGTCCGGTAGGACGGACGATGCGTGACAGCCCCGGAACGATTACGACATATACAACAACGACACGACGAAGGGTAAAT